GACTCTGGTCATTCCCTGTACCGTGTCCGCAGTCTCTGGTCATCTCCTGTACTGTGTCCGCAATCTCTGGTCATTCCCTGTACTGTGTCCGCAGTCTCTGGTCATTCCCTGTACTGTGTCCGCAGTCTCTGGACATCTCCTGTACTGTGTCCGCAGTCTCTGGTCATCTCCTGTACTGTGTCCGCAGTCTCTGGTCCTCTCCTGTACTATGTCCGCAGTCTCTGATCATCTCCTGTACTGTGTCCGCAGTCTCTGGTCATCTCCTGCACTGTGTCCGCAGTCTCTGGTCATTCCCTGTACTATGTCCGCAGTCTCTGGTCATCTCCTGTACTGTGTCCGCAGTCTCTGGTCATCTCCTGTACTGTGTCTGCAGTCCATTGGTTCAGAATATTTTTTTTTCTTTTTTTTCACCTCTAAAACCTAGGTGCGTCTTATGGAGTGAAAAATACGGTACATTTCATTTATGTACAGTATTGCATGACCGTACAATTGTCAATTAAACTAGCACAGTGCTGTATAGCTATAACGTTCACACAAAGCAATCAATATTATACACTTATTGGGATTTTTTACCAAAGATATGTATCAGAATACATTTTTGCCTAACTTTATGACGAACTTTGAGTTAACTATATATTTTTTATAGCTGAAAGTAAAAAATATTTTTTTTTTTTTTTCAAAATTTTTGGCACAGCTGTACTGTGCTCGTTTCACACTCTTCAGGCCTGCCCTTATTTCACGCAGGTTGCTGTAGTGAACGGGTGGACAGAACCACCATGCAATCCGGAGGAAATACAATTCTTCACCAGAACAGCTTGGTAGTCTTGTCCTTTATTCACATAAAGCAACAGGCATCACAGGACTTTGCACTTATGAATAAAGGACACGATTATAATAATAAAATGATGTTCTGGTAAACATTAGTATTTCCTGAAAATTAGCAACAAACTTATGAACATCAATTGCTGATCAGGCTGCCCAACAATAAAGCATATCCAACATTTTTTGTGTAATTGTACATACACGTGAAATCCTGGAAAGCCAATTGAGAAAGTTCAGCAAAGGCAGGTGACAAATTTACCACTGTGGATGAGGCAGACAGAATTAAGAAATGTTCAGGGGGGATTTATGAATCAAACTGTAATCTTACAAACATATGTCACACAATGAGTGTTATTTACTAAAACTGAAGAGTGGAAAATCTGGTGCAACTCTGCACATAAACCAGCTTCCAGGTTTTATTGCCAAAGCTTAATTGAGCAAGCTGACATTAGAAGCTGATTGGCTAGCATGCACAGCTTCACCAGCTTCTGAGTGCACCAGTTTTAGTAATCAACCCCAATCTTTTTACCTGCTCTTGTTTCATATTGGTATGTTCAAAAGAATTTATTAATCCCCCTCCAAAGTGTAAAAATGCCTACAACATTCCCAATTTTTAGACATTGAGACCTGTACAGAACACTAAATTTAAGAACATTATCTTCATTTTATCCTCTGTCTCAGATGCCGTTTAGACTAAAGAAAGCTTAAAAGTGACAGTGGTAATATTTAATATATTTTCTGCATTGGATCCTAGCTGTTTCATGAATTGGCTACTCCCTGTTAACACCTTTGTTTAAATACACACATTTCTGAGAGTCTTTCCAGGTAAAATAATGTGTTTTTATTTTTTCTTCTTCTTGAGATTCTATAAAGCATTGCACCAGCGATATGCAGTTCGCAGGTGCAGTGCCAGGCTCTTGAAGACTGTCAGTACACTGGCTGCCCGTACCTTTCATTCTGGCAGGGAGTTACTGGTGTCCAGGTAGCTCAATGGACTTTGAGAGTGCTCACCAACCCCCTGACACTGACAACTTCAAGCCACAATGACTCTGTGAATTAATGAATTGGCTGTGTGTGCAGAGTCCTGCACAGCTGCACTGTTTTTAAATTGTATTAGCAAGTGAGAAGGTTCCTTTCCCGCTGTTACAAGGAGGGGGAGGATCGGGGGGTGAGGTGCTGGGTGCTCAAACATGTTGAGCTCAATATAAGAATACCATGTAACGTTGAGAAAGCTGAACTTATCCTTTAATGTGTTATTAAACCCTTGACCCTGCATTCACTATATCTGGTCTCCCACAGTACACAGTACACAGGGGAATGCAATTATTTTATTAACTATAAACTGCTAAATACCTTTTATCATTCTTCATTCTGCTCTGACTGTCCTATGAGGCTGCATAACCCCTGACCCTCTGTCTGGACTTTGCTGATTGGCCCTATGCTGATCACATGCACCCCCCCCCCAAAAAAAAAAAAACCTCTTTAGCCATACACTAAAGTGAGCATGTGCAGAGTGACTTCTAGATACCACAGATACCGCCCAAATCGCCCACTCCGCTCCTCCCATGATATCCTCCTCTCTAGCTCCCTCATCACCTCCTCCCACGCTCACCTCCAGGACTTCTCCAGAGCCTCTCCCATCCTCTGGAACTCCCTACCACAGCATGTCCGGTCAGCCTCCACCCTGGCTGCCTTTAGGCGATCTTTGAAAATGTACTTCTTTAGGGAAGCTTACCCTACCTCCATCTAAGAACGGTACTTGAATCACCTCCGCCAGATCATCCCCCACAGCTATCACCTTTTGTATCACCTCCCCCTTCCTTTAGATTGTAAGCTCCACGAGCAGGGCCCTCCTGTTCCTTCTGTACTGAAAGTATTGTAATTGTACTATCTCCCTTATGTTGTAAAGCGCTGCGCAAACTGTTGGCGCTATATAAACCCTGTATAATAATAATAATAGAGCCCTGTACTATCAGCAGATAGATTGGGGACAGTAGAAGGAGAGGATCAGAGAAGACCGGATCAAACAACCCTTTTACACAAATATAGAGCATTAACCCCTTAGGATCCACAGTGAGTATACCAAGCATGCTTTACTGCATACACGGACCGATTTTACTGTTGTGGGTTTAGTAACACTTTAAGACTACCGTTACAATACAGGGTTGAAGGGGTTGCATACTTCTTTCCAGTTTATCAAAACATATTGAAACTATGGGATCAGCATGGCAGCCTGGTTTTAAAGAGAGTGATCAGCATTGGAAGACTACATATTCTTGTTGACACAGATATCCTTTGAAAGTTCATGCTGGCTCCTAAATTGCCATGCCTAGCTCATGAATTCTGCTTTATTTGTCTGACCCTGCTATACTTTTTATTATTCCGAAATATTCAAAACATCTTTTTATAAAAATGTAATCTGGTTTATAAACCCTGTTATACTTGCAGGGCAAAGTAACTGGATTTACTTTGATAACTTTCCCACCAGAATCACATATGGCTGTGGGAGTAACGGGGAGGAATATCTGGTACCTAACTTTACAAAGAAGTACATACAATACATCCAGAAAGTATTCACAGCACTTAACTTTTGCCACATTTTATGTTACAGCCTTAGTCCAAACTGGGTTAAATTCATTTTGTTCCTCAACATTCTACAAACAATACCCCATAATGAAAACGTGAAACAAGTTCATTTGAAATCTTTGCAATTTATTAAAAATAAAAAAAATAAAAAAACCTCATGTACATAAGTATTCACAGCCTTTGTTCAATACTTTGTTGAAGCACTTTTAGCACCAATTACAGCCAGAGAGTCCCTCAGGTGTCTTTTTGCAAACTCCAGGTGAGCTGCCATTTGCCTTTTACTGAGGAGTGGCTTCCGTCTGGCCACTCTACCATACAGGCCTGATTGGTGGAGTGCTGCGGAGATGGTTGTTCTTCTGGAAGGTTCTCCTCTCTCCACAGAGTAATGCTGGAGCTCTTTCAGAGTGACCATTGGGTACTTGGTTACCTCCCTGACTAAGGCCCTTCTCCCTCGATCGCTCATTTTGGCCAGGTGGCCCGCTCTAGGAAGATTCCTGGTGGTTCAAAACTTCTTCCATTTACGGATGATGGAGGCCACTGTGCTCATTCGGACCTTCATTGCTGCAGAAATTTTTCTGTACCCTTCTCCAGATCTGTGCCTTGATACAATTCTGTCTCGGAGGTCTACGGACAATTCCTTGGACTTCGTGGTTTGGTTTGTGCTCTGACATGCACTAACTGTGGGACCTTATATAGCAGGTTTATGCCTTTCCTAATCATGTCCAATCAAATGAATTTCTCACAGGTGGACTCCAATCAAGTTGTGGAAACATCTCAAGGATGATCAGTGGGAACAGGATGCACCAGAGCTCAATTTTGAGTGTCATGGCAAAGGCTGTGAATACTTATGCACTTTTTCGGTTTTTATTCTAATAAATTGCAAAGATTTCAAAATTACCTTCTTTCACGTTGTCATTATGGGGTATTGTTTGTAGAATGTTGAGGAAAAAAATGAATTTAATCCATTTTGGAATAAGGCTGTAACATAACAAAATGTGGCAAAAGTTAAGTGCTGTGAATACTTTCTGGATGCACTGTAGGTTACTACTATCCTTCACTTCCACATTACCGCACTTATGCTTGCAAATGCATGCTTAGGCATAAAGTAATTCACAAGGGGCTGTGGGAGAGTCCTCAGTTCACACAGGGCTTCCTTTCTTCACTCACAGTGACTGAATGAAGCATTTGGGAAGTGAAGGAAAGGCAACTAATGAACCACCATTAAAATGAGAAAAAAAATAAACTGTATGTATAAAGTCTATTTAAACTGTACCAGTACCTGGACAAATAACATCTTATAAAGCCAGGAAGATTATAGGCTGTTTTAAGTATACCTTTTAATATTCATGAATAGCAGCATAATAATTTACAAGGCAGATAGCTTATAAATAAAATTGAATGTGTTTAGCTGAGTCCACATAATGTGTGTAGACATAAATACTAAAAAAAAAAAAAAAACGAGAAAAAGTGAGACTGTGTAGTACATGTATGCGCCTAGGGAAATCTGCCTCAAAATACGTTTTTAGACTATATTCACATATTCTGTATGATATCACAAACACAAAACCAAGAAATACAAAACTTGCTTCTACCTCATTGACTCCATCTGAGACAGTGAATGTGAAGTCATCTGCATGTTTCTCCTCTGTGCTAGTGTGAATGTACTGGATGCTTCGTGATTCTATGTCCGCCTGGCTAAAGCTGCTAATTTTTATACCTGGAAAAAGAGAAGCAATGGAATGTTACTGTTTCATATTTACGTGCAAAAGTCATATCTACAAACAGATACAAAGACATACTAGTCAGGTTTTCGCATTACCTTGTTCTCCTGTTTTTATCTGAAATTGCCATTCCTGGCACATACTGTTGTGTTCAAAATAATAGCAGTGTGTTGAAAAAAGTGAATAAAGCTCAAAATCCTTCTAATAGCTTTTATTTCCATACACACAAATGCATTGGGAACACTATACATTCTATTCCAAATCAAAACATGAAGAAAAATACAGTGGGGATCGAAAATTTGTATTAATGTGCATAAAGAAAAGATGGAAAAATCTCCAAAAGGCATCAAATTACAGATTAGACATTCTTATAATATGTCAACAAAAGTTAGATTTTATTTCCATCATTTACACTTTCAAAATAACAGAAAAAAAAAAAAATGGCGTCTGCAAAAGTTTGGGCACCCTGCAGAATTTATAGCATGCACTGCCCCCTTTGCCAAGCTGAGACCTGCCAGTGTCATGGATTGTTCTCAATCATCGTCTGGGAAGACCAGGTGATGTCAATCTCAAAGGTTTTAAATGCCCAGACTCATCTGACCTTGCCCCAACAATCAGCACCATGGGTTCTTCTAAGCAGTTGTCTAGAAAACTGAAACTGAAAATAGTTGACGCTCACAAAGCTGGAGAAGGCTATAAGAAGATAGCAAAGCGTTTTCAGATGTCAATATCCTCTGTTCGGAATGTAATTAAGAAATGGCAGTCATCAGGAACAGTGGAAGTTAAAGCAAGATCTGGAAGACCAAGAAAAATATCAGACAGAACAGCTCGCAGGATTGTGAGAAAAAAAATTCAAAACCCACGTTTGACTGCACGATCCTTCCAGAAAGATCTGGCAGACACTGGAGTGTTGGTACACTATTCCATTATAAAGAGATACTTGTACAAATATGGTCTTCATGGAAGAGTCATCAGAAGAAAACCTCTTCTACGTCCTCACCACAAAAATCATCGTTTGAACTTTGCAAATGAACATATAGACAAGCCTGATGCATTTTGGAAACAAGTTCTGTGGACCGATGAGGTTAAAATTGAACTTTTTGGCCAGAATGAGCAAAGGTACGTTTGGAGAAGAAGGGGCACAGAATTGAATGAAAAGAACCTCTGTCCAACTGTTAAGCATGGGGTTGGATCAATCATGCTTTGGGGTTGTGTTGCAGCCAGTGGCACAGGGAACATCTCACGAGTAGAAGGAAAAATGGATTCAATAAAATTTCAGCAAAATTTGGATGGTAACTTGATGCCATCTGTGAAAAAGCTGAAGTTAAAGAGAGGATGGCTTCTACAAATGGATAATGATCCTAAACACACCTCGAAATCCACGGGGGATTACATCAAGAGGCGTAAACTGAAGGTTTTGCCATGGCCTTCACAATCTCCTGACCTCAACATAATTGAAAATCTATGGATAGACCTTAAAAGAGCAGTGCGTGACAGACAGCCCATAAATCTCAAAGAACTGGAAGACTTTTGTAAGGAAGAATGGGCAAAGATACCTCAAACAAGAATTGAAAGACTCTTGGCTGGCTACAAAAAGCGTTTACAAGCTGTGATAGTTGCCAAAGGGGGCAGTACAAGATATTAACTCTGCAGGGTGCCCAAACTTTTGCAGACGCCATTATTTGTGTTTTCTGTTATTTTGAAAGTGTAAATGATGGAAATAAAATCTAACTTTTGTTGACATATTATAAGAATGTCTAATCTGTAATTTGATGCCTTTTGGAGATTTTTCCATCTTTCCTTGGCTTCTTTATGCACATTAATACAAATTTTTAGCTGGGGTGCCCAAACTTTCGATCCCCACTGTATATCAAATTTGTGTTGTTCCTCTAAAAAAAATTGAAGAAAAGTGAATATTAGACTTCAAAAAATAGCAGTGTTTGTATTCTTCTTTACAAACTCAAACATTCACTATATAAACTGAAAAATGTTTGAAGATTTTGCTTTCCTTTGAATCACTTAATTAATATTTAGTTGTATAAGCACTGTTTCTGAGAACTGCTGTACATCTGTGTTGCATGGAGTCAACCAACTTCTGAACCTGTGAACAGGTATTCCAGCCCAGGATGATTGGACTACATTCCACAGTTCTTCTCTATTTCTTGGTTTTGCCTCAGAAACTGCATTTTTGATGTCACCCCACAATTTTTCTATTGGATTAAGATCCGGGGATTGGCTGGCGGGGGCTTCTTGTAGATAGCTTGGCTTCACATAGGCGTCTTCTAATTGTAACAGTACTCCCAGGTAACTTTAGACCTTCTTTGATCTTCCTGGAGCTGATTGTTGGCTGAGTCCTTGCCATTTTGGATATTCTTTTATCCATTCGAAAGGTAGTTTTTCGCTTTCTTACACGTCTTTCAGGTTTTGGTTGCCATTTTAAAGCATTTGCGTTCATTTAGCTGAGCAGCCTATCATTTTCTGCACTTCTTTATATGTTTCCCCCTATCCAATCAACTTTTTAATCAAGGTATGCTGTTCTTCTGAACAATGTCTGGAACGACCCATTTTCCTCAGAATTTCAGAGAGAAAAGCACTGTAACCAGCATGTACAACATTTGCTGCCTTCCTTCCTTAAATAAGGGCAATAATTGCCACCTGGTTTTCAAAGAATGAATGACCTCACTAATAGAACTCCACACTGCTATTATTTTGAACATGCCCCTTTCAATTAGTGATTCAATTACACAGAATCAGTAGCATGCATGTCATGACTGTTGGATCTGTTGGATTTCTATTACTCTACTAAACCTGCTAGTAAATTATTTGCCATGTAGAAATATCATTTCTACCAAAAACAGTGATTGATCAGATTAGTGATGTCTGACTGCTATTATTTTGAACACAACTGTAACTAAATAATTGTAGGACATGTGTTTTTTTTGTCATAGACAGTGCTGAATGTCCTTTTTTTGTCCTGTACTTTTATGGAAAAAATATAGAAATTAGAATCAGCCCTTTGCATATCAGGAAATTAGACCTTAGATGCATTGACCCAGCCTAGACATTGGATGTAGAGCCATAGTGTGAAGTAGCTGCATCTTATTTAACTTGGTACTCAGGGGGGCCATTATACTCTATGGCTGGGCCCAAAATGTGAAGCATTACAGAGAAGTGATAACTCAACACTGGGTAACTGATGGAGAGGCTAGGGCAGTGCAAATCACTGATGACATGCATTTAAGGTACATGAGGAAAAGCAAACAGATGTGCCAACCAGGGAAAGAGGGAGGCTCAATGCTCGTTTTTTTTTATCTTCCCAGCAAGTTGGGCAAAATGAAATAAAATTACAAAAACGCAAAATGCATCAAAAAATGTGTCAAAACGGACGTACAAAAATGCAAAACGCACTGCAAATCAGACAAAACGCAAACTGCATTGGTGTAAACCAGGCCTGAACTGCATTGAAAAAGGCAGGATAAACACATGAAAAACACACACATGCTGCAATTTTTATGCATTTGTTTAATCACATGACCTATGAAAAACGCAGCCTAAACATGGTAATATTGCGGGTAAAATCATGGCAAAATTGCAGGTAAAACCATAGCAAAAACGGGGGTAAAATCGTGACAAAATTCTGGGTAAAATTACTGCAATTACTAAATTCATGGCAAGATCATGGGCAAAATTCCGGGTAAAATCGCAGCAAAATTCCGGGTACAATTGTAGCATAATTGCTTGTAAAATTGCAGCAAAATCACACGTAAAATCAAAGCAAAATTCTGGGTAAAATAGCAGCAAAATCACAGGTAAAATAGTGGCAAAATTCGGCGTAAAAGTGTCGTAAAATTCCAGGTAGAATCGCAGCACAATTACGGGTGAAATCTTGGCAAAATTATGAGTAAAATTGTGGCAAAATCGCAGGTAAAATTGAAGCAAAATTCTGGTTAAAATCGCTGAAAATTCGGGGGTAAAATCACAGGTAAAAATGAGGAAAAATAGACGGTAAAATCACGGGTAAAATTGTGGGAAAATCAGGAGTAAAAACACAGCAAAATTGCAGGTAAATTCCTGGGTAAAATTACATTTTCGGTGGCCATTTATATTGGCCGATATATTGTTGCATCCCTAATATGTATAGTGTATACACTGTTACTAGTGGAGGAGTTGCAGAGACTCTTAGCTGAAGCTATGGGAGGCAGGACAGACCCGAAGGGTTTATTTACTAAAGCTGGAGAGTCCAAAATCAGACTCCCTTCTGCATAGAAACCAATCAGCTTCCAGGTTTCATTGCCAAAGCTTCATTGAACAAGCCGAGGTTAGAAGCTGATTGTCCTGAGTGTCCTGAGCTGACATTCTTAGAACACTGCCTAGGTGGGAGGTAAAGACCAGGAGTCTGACTCCTCCAACTACAGTGAGCAGGGAGGAAATACATCACAGCTTCCTAGAAGAAGAACTACAGAGGAGCTGTGCCAAGACCAGTGGCTGGGGGAATAGGAGGAATAGCAGCCACCAGTCTTACAAACAGGAAACCACAGGGGATTAACAGTTTTATTTGAAAATCATCAGCTTATTTCAGAGAAACTACTGAGTGAACCAGAAGATGGAGGACATATTTAGTGAAGGTAGGAGATCAGCAGCAAGGACATGGAAAAAAAATTTGCCCGGACTTCTGCTTTAAAGAAACACTGTACTTTTGTTAAACATATTCCATAATCTTAGTCCTATTCATCAAAAGTTGACTTTGGATGGCTTACGGTTTCAATACTCACTGACATCTAAAAGATTAAAACTCTGCCTGGGCTTGTGCATTGGAACATTCAGAACCCTCAAAATGTCTGATCTAAACCTTAGAGGGTGAGGGACAGCAAATGAGTTCATATGGAAGCCATAGTACTGTATTTTCAGTGTGTACATACAGTATTTTTAAATATTATTGTAGAATTTATGTGAAAGAAATTTTTATTGTGACTTCACATTTTAGCTTGCTTGCTCT